TTACCTTATCAATGCATTCGATCTCGCTCCTTTTGGAGTTCATGTGATTCCCTCAGTATCCAGTCTCGCTCCGTTTGAAGTTCATGTGATTCCCTCAGTATCCAGTCTCGCTCCGTTTGAAGTTCATGTGATTCCCTCAGTATTAGTTTGTTGCTCTGATTTGTCTTCTTATATAAAAAATAAGACTCTGTGGTATGATTGGCAACTCTCCACCAGAGACAAAAATGACGTAAAAGTATGTCAAACTTATATAAAAATAAGAAGCTGTGGTATGATTGCCAATGAGACAACTCTCCACCAGAGACAAAAATGACATAAAAGTATGTCGAACTTATATAAAAATAAGAAACTGTGGTATGATTGCCAATAAGACAACTCTCCACCAGAGACAATAATGACATAAAAGTATATCAAACTTATATCAAAATAAGAAGCTGTGGTATGATTGCCAATAAGACAACTGTCCACCAGAGACAAAAATGACGTAAAAGTATGTCGAACTTATATAAAAATAAGAAGCTGTGGTATGATTGCCAATAAGACAACTCTCCACCAGAGACAAAAATGACGTAAAAGTATGTCGAACTTATATAAAAATAAGAAGCTGTGGTATGATTGCCAATAAGACAACTCTCCACCAGAGACAAAAATGACGTAAAAGTATGTCGAACTTATATAAAAATAAGAAGCTGTGGTATGATTGCCAATAAGACAACTCTCCACCAGAGACAATAATGACATAAAAGTATGTCGAACTTATATAAAAATAAGAAGCTGTGGTATGATTGCCAATAAGACAACTCTCCACCAGAGACAAAAATGACGTAAAAGTATGTCGAACTTATATAAAAATAAGAAGCTGTGGTATGATTGCCAATAAGACAACTCTCCACCAGAGACAAAAATGACGTAAAAGTATGTCGAACTTATATAAAAATAAGAAGCTGTGGTATGATTGCATATAAAAATAAGAAGCTGTGGTATGATTGCATATAAAAATAAGAAGCTGTGGTATGATTGCCAATAAGACAACTCTCCACCAGAGACAAAAATGACGGAAAAGTATGTCGAACTTATATAAAAATAAGAAGATATGGTATGATTGCCAATAACATGATAAGACAACTGTCCACCAGAGACAAAAATGACGTAAAAGTATGTCGAACTTATATAAAAATAAGAAGCTGTGGTATGATTGCATATAAAAATAAGAAGCTGTGGTATGATTGCCAATAAGACAACTCTCCACCAGAGACAAAAATGACGTAAAAGTACATCGAATTAAGAGATTTGAACATTGGTAAACTACTTTTGTCTTGACTTAATTTATATCAGTTCAAATAATTTTATTTTGTTACAAAATACTTTTATCTGTATCCAACTGTAAAATTGAATACTAAATTAATATAATATTAGTTCCACCAAGGATTTTAATGGTATGATATAACATCATTGGTTTGACACTTAAATTTCTAGTGAATTTGAAGAAGGAAAAGTGCTTGCTGGTCTCTGTTGTAAATAGGTCACATTTGTTCATCCAATGGAAATTTTCTTTTTATCCATTAAAGGGGAACTCAGTGGAATTTACTGTTTTGATGTTGTATCGGTGCTAATTAGCAAATTTAAGGGTTTTTTCTGGCCCTTAGGCACGTTTGCTTATTTGTATCTTACTTCCGTATCTATGAAAGAGAGTAGAAATACCCGTTATCGCCAAGTGTCAAATGCCCCCTTTTCACTACAGTTATCACAAAATGAGCATAAATTTGTTTTCTTCATTTGTCAAATTGCAATTTTGATCTACCATTACCTTCAGTCTAAAATGTTCAGTGTTAATATTTTAACAATAAAATTATCATCATTCATCATGTGGGTTACCACATTCCTATCCTAATGTATGGGATAGCAATCAAAGCAATAAACCAAATAAGGCATCCAGAAGTTTCAATAGACAGACAATTTGGGAACAAACTCAACATAAACTATTAAAGATCAGCTATCAACTTTTACTTAATTCCCAAATGCACAAATGACAGGAAAAACAAATATCACCACTGATGCAGACACATAAACAAAACATGAACTTTAATTAAAGACTGCAAAAATGTTGTTCAGACAATGTAATTTGCAAACAGATTATGAAATGCATTTTGAAGATTATTTTTCATGATAACCATGATAATTAATGTAGTTCACTTCAACTAAAAGCTGGTGTGCCTGTGTACTATGTTAGATTTTCCATCTTGCTCTGGACATTCTCAGAAATACAGACCTGCCAACTTTCCTGCTTTATGGGGGATATCACCCATGAAAAGTGTTGACCTCAGACCCTTATAATACTCAATAAAGTATTGACGAAATACTTTAGAAAAGGCATTCCAAGCAGTAAGCAATACATTTAAACACATGTATACTCATTCAAAACCATAGATGTTCCAATAAAGTACACTAATGACATGTATAGGTATGTATTAGGTCCTCTTGTGCTTAAAATCCCCAATTGGAGATTTGGAAAAGTTGGCAAATAATAGTATAACATTAATTTATCTTTATACCAGACTGTGTTGTTTTGAATATTGTCCCCTCATAAAGAATTTATTCACAGACATGCAATAGCATTTGTCACTCAATGATAAAATGGCAATTGTTTAACCTCTCAGTGAATGCCCATTTTACTCCATTGAGTTATGTGTACATATGCACATGCAGAATTGCAGATGTATGCAAAATAGTACCATCAATCTACCATTTGTTAGATCAATACTGTCAGTTTATGTAAATAAACAACATTATTTAAGAAAACAAACAATATTAGCAACAACACTATTGTATCCTGCAGCATATATTGTCAGTGAACTGAAGTAGAAACCCTCAAACAGATCAAAAATCACTTTTCTTACATATAAGTAAAGATAAACTTTACACTTGAAAAGCAGTAAAGGTATATAATTTTCATATAATGGGTTTATATGTAATGATAGAATGAGAGTAGGGGATGATTGCTTTACTTTGATGACATCATAATAGGCAGCCATGTCCTGTCTTTTGATGTTATGAAAGTGACAATTAAATTACTAGTGACTGTAACAAGATTCTTCATGGTTACAAGTCAGTAATTATACTGTTCAAGTTATATTGTTCACATACATTTTTTCATTCAAATAGTATTCTGTTACTTTTAATAGTCCAGTAGTCAGTGGAGAATAGATATTTTTAATATAAATTTAAATCAGCAAAAATTTGCATGTAGAAAATATATACATTTTGCATCTGGGATGGTAGTTTTATACATTTCATGACACTAAAAATTGCTAGTAAGAACTTTTATTTATTCTGAACTTTCTTTATAAGGGGACAATAATCAGACCAACTCAATTTTTTTATAAAGATAATGAAATATTATGTAAATTTAAAAAAATGAGACTGCAACCCAAAATTGACAGCAAAACAAAAGTATATAAACTTTAACAATGAGTATATACTGTAGGCCACAATTTATCATGCAGTCAACCTTTTTACTTAATAAAAATGTGTGTCATATTTTTACACTATACAAATATAATTTCTGTGATTTGTGGGAATGGCAATACTTGAATAAGCATTTATGTCAACGTTTACTTTCCTCTCCTCTTCACAGCCCTTGTTTAGGGAATTATTGAGGACTGAACATTTTATCATGAACAAACTTAGGAAGCGTGGGCTATAAATTGAAGAATCAGCCACCCAATGACAAAAATAACCAAAAAATATCATGAAGGCAACATACATTTAAGTTCAGCAATAGACAGGTGTAAATATTGTTTTTCAAGTGTCTATTTAAAATGCAAAGGCTCATTGTTGCAAATATATAATTCATTTGTACTGCTATAAAACTTGAAAAAAGCTCAGCAAGGTTTTTTTTTAATGTTTGTTTCACCTGAACAAATGAATTCTGAATTTTTCAACACTGCGCCTATATTTATATTTTCATCGGTCTCATTATATGCAATATACCTTCGCAGTTAGTTATGAAATATTTACACACTGTTTAATAGTCTTCTTGAGCAGTATGCTTTTTTAGTTTTATTTTTGAGTTTCAAATATTCTAAAAACAAGTTATGTTTCTATTTGAAGCATCTGAAGCAAGTGATTTAGATTTTCACAGTATAATTAAGATGTTATATAATTAGATTAGTGTACCTTTTATTCCATTGTAAAAATACCAATTGAAGTCGATATCAAGATCAGGGTATAATCTTAGTTAAGTTTGAAAACTTGAAATGTCTAATCATGACACTTATCAAGTTCTTTAATAAGATATGGATAAGGTTAATACTGATGAATTTTATCTGTATGCATAGGTTGCCAGTGCTGATATCTTTTTCAGAATAACTTTAGAAAAAAATGTAGTAACTGTATGAAATTTCATCACTTTTTTAACTTTTCAATGTTTGTGAATTCTGAATTAGGTTTATTTGCACTGTAATATCAGCAGCTTCTATAATTACAAGATGTATATATGTTATCATGGTTACCAAAAGTATTGCATGATGACATTTTCAATATTTCATATTAGGTTTTTTGTTATTGACACTTTTGTTAATTTATTTTGGAATCATGTTATTTGTAGGGTACTCATTTTTGCTGATTTTATAGCTTAAGGTTAACCACAAAATTAAGACTTTTTAAAACAAAATGCAGAACTTGTCAAATTCACATTCAAATATCCAGGAAAGTACAATTTTTATCTCAATCCTCTGAAATTGGTACCCACATAAAATAAATGAATTCATAGTAAATTGCAGATAATTAGACTCACTGAAAATGTAGTGTCTGTTAAGTGTTAGATGTGCACACATTGTATACATTTGCTTGCCATTTCATTGTAGAAACACCTATCATAGCTTTCATTGGTTAAGCTAGCCTATGTATTACACGAATGATAAGTATGACCATGATCGGAGTGAATTTGTAGTGTTGTTGGTTTGCTTGGCATGTGTATAACTGCTTCTATTTCTTTACAGAGATCTTAGATTTAACAGTTTATCACAATTGAACAGAGGATCATTTATAGGATTACATAAAATAGATACTTTGTAAGTATAACTTTATATGATTAGAAAGAGAGACTGGATAAATTATTTGCAGTTATATAGCATCAATAAAAATGGGCATCTACAGGTTAATCTATCCCCTCAACAATACCCATAATGCCATCAGCATTTTAACCCCCTTTCCATCACCAAATATGAGTAACAAAATTAACATTAATTATAACACCTCACTCCAAAGGAGGGATGTATAGTGTTTTACACTGTTTCAGATTTATCCTTCTTCAACTTCCTGTCAACCTTATGCTTATACATTCTAAACATAGTGGCCATGTATTTAATTTTATATTCTAAACATAGTGGCCATGTATTTAATTTTATATTCTAAACATAGTGACCATGTATTTAATTTTATATTCTAAACATAGTGGCCATGTATTTAATTTTATATTCTAAACACAGTGGCCATGTATTTAATTTTATATTCTAAACATAGTGGCCATGTATTTAATTTTATATTCTAAACATAGTGGCCATGTATTTAATTTTATATTCTAAACATAGTGGCCATGTATTTACTTATACATTCTAAACATAGTGGCTATGTATTTAATTTTTGTCGCATTTTTCAATGGAATTACAAATCAGAGCATCCTAGAAATTGTTATCTGGCTTCATGTCTGCCTGTTTTACCATGTGAGGCAGTTTCAGATTCATCACTCATCAATTTCATGTTTATTAAATGCTTATTGTCCCCCTGCGCAATGCGTTCTTGGGGGACATAGAAATACCGGGCATCTGTCTGTCTGTCCGCCCTGTCTTGTTAACGCTCTCAGGTGAACAATTCTTGCCAGATTTTTATGAAACTTATATCATAGGTTTATATCTGCAATGTCTTGGTCGAGTTCGAAAATCAGTGCCGATCAATTATTTTTAAAAGAGTTGTGCCCCTTGGAAACATTAATGATATGGAAAATTGCATCGTTAGCACTCTCATTTGTACAATTCTTGCCAGATTTTCATGAATCTTATATCATAGGTTTATATTAGCAATGTCTTAGACGAGTTATAACTACAAGGCAAAAACAATTATGTGACCAGAAATGAAATTGAATGAAGGAATTTTGAAATTAAAGAAGATAGCTCTTACTTTGAGAAAGTAAAAAGATAACGTGGGGTCTGTGTACTTATTTTATTGCTATTTAGCAATTCAGATACATTTCACATTGCAATCTAAAATTAAAATTAATTGAGTTATCTCCTCTTATCAATCCATGTCTTGATAAGTATATAATAAATGATTATTTATAAAACAAATAATAGTTCTGTATTTGCAATAAACATTATAAATAGAAAGATAAAATAAGATAAGTTTCTGCATTTTAATAAAACCCCACAAATTTCTGATCTTATTTTCTCTATTCAAACTATCAAAAGTACAGAAATAATTTATCCTTTCAAGATACTTTAAAGGGGCATTAGCTACGAGATATGAAAAAATAGAAAATGATTCAGTTTGGTTCAATCATTAATAAAAGTGAAATAATGAAATAATAATTTGCTTTTAGCAGCCAATTTGGTTCAGTTTTGCCAGAATAAGCAAAGAAACATCGCTGATGAATTATTCACTTGCAAGTGAATAATTCGACCTCATTGAATCCATATTCATGTTACCTTCAATTTAACCCATTAGCTAGAAATTGGTTACGCATGTTTTAGTCGTACGTGTTCAGCCATCTAAAAAAGGAAAAGAATGTCAACATTGAAAGTGAAACAAAGGTAAACCATTTCGTTGACTGATTTGATCCACAAAAAATCATTCTTATACAGGTAAAAACGATAATTAACTCTTTTTTTTAGCCTTTTAAATGAAATCAAACATACATTGAAAAATCCAATTGCACGAAGTCGCTATCTATTTATGCTAGATAGCGACCTCGTAAAATTCTTTTTGAAAAACGATAATTAACTCATTTTTTTAGCCTTTAAAATGAAATCAAACATACATTGAAAAATCCAATTGCACGAGGTCACTATCTATTTATGTTTATGTTTATGTTTATCATTGGTTAGGTGACCGTTGGCAGTCTTCGGAGGTCATCAAGAAGGTTAATTAGATGGCATCTAGACTAAAATAGACATGAAATTCTGATAAATATTATCAAGTACATGTATTGTTAACTGTTTATTTCAGATTTTTTGTAATTATGATAAACATTTTAGTTGTTATAAATCAAATATGAGAATTTGAGTCAAATCGGTGAACATGATTTTGACCACTAATGCCCCTTTAACTTAATTTCACCAACCTTTATTATTTTGCAATGTTTTTTTCTTCAAAATTTTTGTGCCAGTTTTAAGGGCTTAGTGTACCTACTCCTTTAGATATAGTGTGAATACTATATAAATAAATATGAAGGAAGTCTGGATGAGAAATTCAAAATATTTTTTTTATACTAAATATGCTACCTCATCAAATGTTTCATTATTAGTATAGTTACATAACCTTTGCTGATCTATATACTGTTTGGCAGTTACATACAGTTTTATGTGTAACAATGAATCAGATAGTCTATATTCATTGTTAGACAATTAATACAATCACCAGACAAGCAGGTGCTTCCATCTGGCAGCCTCAAAGGTTTGTATGCTTCATGTATTAGAGAAAAATTATACATAAAATTGTGGAATATGAATTAATTACTGCTGTTTTAAAGATATACATGAATTTGAATGCTACCTACCTGCGGTGTAATCTTGTCATACATTGATTGCATCTTGTTTTTATAGGTCTCTTTTTGTAGTTTTATAATAATAAATATGTAGAGTTTATTTGTTTCAACCAGATATTTTCAACTGGTATCTTAAACTATCATAATGTAAAATTCAGGAAGTCTGCCTTGAGAAATATTCTGTCAGACTTAGGTAAATGATATGCATTTGCACATTAAGATCATGACCTGGTCAAAGTCAGGGATAAGAGTCCAAAAGCATTACATAACATACAATACAACACCAGTCCTTCAAAAGAATATGCTGTGCTTTAAAACTTGAACATTTTAATTACCTTCCATGAAAGTAGGATTGGCAATGTTAAGAGTGTTACTTTTGTTTGTCCGTCTTTCTACTGTAGTTCATATCTGGATTAATTTCTGTAAAACAAGTGTGATATTACTGATGTTTCACTAGTATGATCCTGGTATTCTAAGTACGCAGGTCCTATCATCCTACACTCTAAATAAAATCTAACAATAGAATTACATAGCAGGAATATGGATTTAGTAACAATTTATAGTACACTATAATTCATGTCATGTTCTCCTACTGATGCAATGATGATTCCGTAGAGTGTCTGAGTTAACAGCAGTATCTATTATACATTGTAGTACAACATAGGTTAATTCCAGTCTTTTTAACCTACATTTTATGGATGAGTGACTTATATGAGTTATGTGTTTAGTAATGCATAACAATTTTAACCAGAATTATCAAAAATATTTAGACAATAGAACAGATCACACCAACCACCAACAATGAACTCTTCTGAGATTAGATATATATTTACAAACAGCTAAGAACAACCCACAGTCCAGTTTATGGCTGGACTTGTACAGGCCCAAAATGTGATGATGTTTATGCCCCATCTACAAGCATTATGTTTTCCTGTCTGTGCATCCATTTTCCATCTGTCCATCCTGGTTTTGGTTAAAGTTTTGGTTTAAGATAGGCTAAAGTTTTGGTTTAAGATAGGATCAAGTTTTGGTTTAAGAAAGGTTAAAGTTTTGGTTTAAGATAGGTTAAAGTTTTGGTTTAAGATAGGTTAAAGTTTAAGATAGGTTAAAGTTTAAGATAGGTTAAAGTTTTGGTTTAAGAAAGGTTAAAGTTTTGGTTTAAGATAGTATACCCCATGAAGTTGTAGTCACATCAACTTGAAATTTAGTACACAAGGTCATTATGATGTGATCTTTTAAAAATATGTGCCTAATTATGGTTTTGACCAAAATTTCAAGGTTTACTGAACATGGTAATTTGAATGTGTGAGTGGGGCATGGTGTCCTATGGACACATATTCTTGTTTAAGGTTTATATCTCCAATTGTAAAATAACAAAAAGCTTTCTGAACTACAGTCCTCTTTAATAGAGCAAAATAAAAATTCAAATAAAACTTAAGTGACCAAATTAGTTTTTGTATGACTTACAATTTAAACTATTTCAGTTTTAGTTTTGTATAGTTCTCAGAAACCCAATGTGGCATATCATTGATATCATCATGCTTATAAAGTTTGAATTCAGATCAATTATTGTAGGACTACAAATTTAGATTTAGTATATTTGATATAACAACAGTCATCTTTTAATTAGAAAATACAACACATTTTCTTTACAATTAGGTCACAATGACCTACATTTTATGTGTAGTAACCTTTATTTTATAGGTATCTCTGGAAGACATTACAATTGCTATTACGAATAACCAATGTGACATTTTAGTGACTATAGTCACTATACCTTACACTTTAGTGACTTTGAGGTTAATTTCTTTGCAGTAATATTGTATTAAGGGTGGGTCATTCTATTCTAGGTTATTCACAAAATATTCAAAATACTATTAACCAAAATTGTTTTCTTTACCAATCATGGTTCACAGTCCATTTATTTTTTTTCATGGTTATTCAGGAGAACATACCATACATTTTTGTTTTCTTGTTTTAATCCATATTTCCACATAGGCAGAGAAGTTTTGTTAATATTTTATGAGAGAGCAGTTATTGAACATTTTTGAAATTTTTGTTCCGCAGTCTAGAAATGATTTCTTAGTCCAAAAGTAAACGTTTTAAACAGATAAATAAGTAAATGATTACATCATATTTTGAAAACCTAGGACAACAAATATTGAATAAGAAATCCAAGGTATGCCAAATATCTAAGAGCCTACTTATGAAAGTGTTATCAGTATGTTTGTCATATGTGGTAATAATTTTCATATGATTTGATAATGTGTTTACTATGAATGCATGGTTTACCTTTGAATTAAATTACATCTG